CACACTTGACTCTACCACACTTGACTCTACGACACTTGACTCTACGACACTTGACTTTACCACACTTGACTCTACGACACTCTCTTTAGACTCTCTATAGACTCTCTATAGCCGACACTCATGGCCCCAAAACTCATGGCTAATGATGCTTTCGGGCCACTCGTCTTCTAGTGTTTTCTTATTTTGGCCTGATGCATTTGCTGCTATGGTCCCTTCAACACGGCGCGCGCCGGGAGAGGGTTGGGAAGTGGTTTCGGCCGGGTCTTCAGGCTGCGGGCCAAAATCAATTTGGGAGCTGAGGGCTTTAGGGTTGTAATGTAGGGGCCTAAATAATTACCTATACTATTTTGAGAGTTCCTTACTATAATTGTAGTATAATGGCCCCAAAACCCCATTCAAGTTATTAAGGCCCCTATAGTAATGATCTTCAAGGCTACTATATGCCACAGGTCAAGAACTGCTCGCTGATGCGAGAGGTGGTGAAGATTATCCAGGACCGGCCTGAGACCACTTGCACGACGGACACCAGCGTATGCTTAATCACTTGCTTATTATGATACACCCTAAACCCTAAACCCAGGTAGCACTTGAAACCGGGAGCCTGAACCCTGAACCAAAACACAGATTCAACATCAAGTCGGGAGATTCAGGAAAGAGTGACCCCAACAGACCTCGACCTGGCTTTGTTTCAAAAAGGAGACGCTGCAGTGGAATGCAGCGCCTGGCATGCCGTCACATGCAAGGCGAGGTGAAGTCTCGATTTGGGGGGCATGGGGCGGCCAAGATCATGTCGAACTGCGGTGGCGGCCCAGACTCCTTCGATCTTTTTATGCTCACTCGCTTCTCCTGGACTCGTCCCTACCTGTAGTCTCCATTGTAGTTCCTTTTTGGGGATACCTTATAAACTCGTTAATATATATTTGGTTAAACCAAAAAAGGAACTACAGAGGAGACTATAGGTAAACCCGATAAGCCCAAACCATGGGGGATCCTTCCGTGGCCATCTCCTCGAGGCCGCGCGTTTTTCCGGTGGGAAAGCAGCTTCAACGGCTGAACACCCTGAAGCCCACGGGCGACCTACTGCCGAAGAGGCGGGCTCAGAAGGTCAAACTGAAAGTTGTGGGGCATTGAACCCTTGTATAAAGACGCTTAGTTAGTTGCACTTGGTTTCCATCATCACATATTATTAGCAATTCCTGACTCTTCTTTTTCAACTTTCTATAAGGATGAGGAGGAGGAGGAGGACGACGATGAGGATAGACACTGACGACCCTGCAGTGCGATTATTATCGTTTGCGCCTTGCGACAATTGTTCACAATGGGAGGACAGAGAGAGAGAGAGAGATAGAGAGAGATTGATTGAGATTATGATTGCAATGATGAACATGGTGGTGCTGCTGGTTTTGGCTGTTGATGACGGTGACAACGATGGCCATTGCTATTCTGTGCAACTGGTGCTGCAGGGTGTTAGGTCCGATGCCGAATGCCTTGCTGACTCTTGTTCCGGGAAGCCCATGCCAAATCCCTCCCCATACTCAAAGCCTGCAGTCGCTGCAAGCTTCATTAACCCTAAAGCTGAAGCCGTAAACCCTGAGCGAACTTGTCGAGATGTTCGTTTGTATGGACTTCGGCACTGTGTTCCAAACACTCAGTGGGATTCCAGTTTTTGCCTTCCGAGCCTCGTGGGAACATGCCCTAAACCCCTAAACCCTAAACCCCAAACCCTAAAACGTCCAAAGAGCAAACACCCTGCACCACTTCTTTCCCAGCTGCCCTTTGAGCCAGGTTTCCCCGCTACACCTACGTCCATCTTCTGGCCGAGGCCGCGAATTGTCGGGGGTGTTCCTGGCTGGCGAAACCCAAGAGGCTCGTTGAAGTCTAAGTCGCAGGCTGCAGCGATCTGTCCACGAGGAGATAGTTGGGGGGTGATGGATGGGGAAATTTGCTTCATTTTGCTGTTGTTCCGGGATCCTCCACAGAGCATACTTGTGGTGCTTGAAGGAACTAAGAATTCCCACGGAGCGTAGAGCATGGCCACCAGGAAAGATTTAGTTGCTCTGAAAGGAATGGCGCTTCTGAGCGCGAATACTGTTTACCTTTGCCATGGAGTTACGACCTCCATGCAGGTGCTGATTTTCAAGATTGGCCTTTGTCTTGGTGCCGACCCCTTCGCCGAAGCAGACCCTGGGGCTGCACAGCTATTGGGGAGGAGCGGGGGGGGGGCTTCAGGTTGCTACATTGTCAAATCCAGGGCGTTTTGTGAAACCTTGGTGATTCGTTGTCGGCGAGAGACGAAGCTCGAACTGGCTCTAGCTCAACATCTGAAGCTCAAAGTCTGCAGAGCCTGAAGCGGTAGCGGTCCAACGCCTTCAGCTCTTCGTCTCTCAAGAACTCAGAGCCCTCCCCAAAAACCCCCAAAACCACAGAAACCCTGAAATCATCATCATCATCATCATCATCATCATCATCATCATCGAACCCTCAAGGCCCCCGAAAGCCCGCAAGATCTCCGTCGAGGTCGGCTCACAGCTCGGCCTGGCTGCCAAGACCAACCCGGAGCTCGCCTACGAGGCCGGGTGGAGGGCTGAGCCATATGGGTGGTTGTCAAACTTGGGGTCCCTTTTTGGGTACCTTAAATAGTAGGTGCCGTATTATATTACGGACCCAAAAAGGGACCATAATTTTGACAACCACCCATATCGGCTTTTGAGGGTTTAGGGCTGATTGGCAGAGTCTTTGTTCAAAAAGGGTTTAGGGTGTAATAACATAGTAGCAACATCACACACACACACACATATATATATATATATATATACGTGTGTGTATATATATATATATATATGTACGTGTCTTAGGATGCGGTAGTCGCGCTGTATTGAAATACATTAACAACTCGGGGGATCCTGGGCGTGCGCGCTTCCGGTAGTTTCAGGGCTCGCAGCCACCTCCGGTATGACTCTAGATTGAAACATGCCGTACATAATATACCCCCCAAACATCCCCCAAACCCCATGCTGATTGTTCGAGCTATTTTAAACGCCCCTGCATTAGGGCCCTGGTTTTCTACAAGGGTGCATTTTAAGGCTTTTAGGGCTCATACGATCTATCGGTCTTATCATGCATAGCGTGGCATTCAGGACTTCTGAAAGTCGACCCTGCTATGCACGCCGAGCCGCGATCAATACCGTAGGAGCTGGCACGCCTTCGACGTGGCCGCCGTGCTGCCGAGGTAGAACTCAGCGGCCATGCGGCTTGACAGGGATTTGAACGGTTCAGCGGCTCCTGGGATTCAGGGTGCTGCTAGAGATTTTCAGAGGTTCACACGATCAAGACGGCTTCATGTTCTGGCACAGGACTTGTGTTCAGTGTCGGCGTCACTTGTTCTTTAGCTTTTCATCAAAGCCGCAGCCTTATGCTTGTCTTCGGACATGTTTTGCGGTTGAAAAGGCTCGTGGTATCATGTGGAACTGAATTCCTTGAACTCTCAAGCCCAATCAGGGCTCTTCTTACGGCCCATCGTCCAAGGAGGACCGCGGGGTGTTGGAAACTTTCAGTTGGGCTTTGTGGTTAGACGATTGGGATACATCATGGTATAATGGCTATGTAGAAGTACAGGTGCAGTCAGTTTCCGAACTTTAACAGTGTAGGGCTGCCAGGGCTCGGGAGTTGGGTTTAGGGATTCAGATTTTAAGATCCTTCCGAGGCCTCATGCAAGAGTCCTTCTAATCGCCTACCCCAGGAACCCAATCATCACGGGATATACTTCAAATTTTCTGGGGATTCTAGGGCTTCTCATGATGCTTTAAGGTATATTCCTCAATCAAGGCGCGCTGGGCAGCTTGGGCCGGCTACCTTTTATGGGGCCCGCTGGACTAAAGCTGCGAGCCCCGAAAGCCCAAGATCTAATCAACCCATAAACCTGGACTTGCCCAAACCTGACTGAAGCCCGAAGTCCCAAACGGACAAAGGAACCCTGCACGATAAAACATCCTGCATCACCTGAGACCCCCTGCCCGAAGGCGCTACCGCCGCAGGCACAACGGCTTGGTCTCCTGTTAGGTAAAGGGTTTTCTAAGCTGCGTATCTGGGAGTTTCAGAAACCTGTGGAGTCCGCAAGAGGCTCCTATAGCAACCCCTTGGGATCCTGTGGCGGGATGTTGGTTGGTAGCCTGGGAGCTCAGACTTGGGTTTGAAAGCCCAGTCTCGCCGGTAATGGCTGCTGGGATGACCTGCAGGGATGCCGCGCTGTCTTGCTATCAGCGATCGCAAAAGTACACTTCGCCAGAACAGCATCGGCAGGTGTTCGACATCGATGCCGAAGTCACCTGCGAGGTCACTGCGTCCTTCTGATCTTGGACCCCTGCATGAGACGTTGGGCCGAGGGCCAATGAGTTGTTTCTTATCAGATCCCTTAGTTGAGGCCTTCAAAGCGTCGGAAGCTTTGTCGGCTCTTAACAACGATGTCACTGCGACATACCAATCATCCACCTTACGATCCAAGCCCGAAGCCACTGCACCCAGGATCCTGCCATCGATGCTGGATTTTGCTGTAGGATCACTTACTACAGTAAGTTCAAAAGGATCCTGCCCTAGGAATCCGAAGCCAGATCAACCCGAGCCACAGCCTGTCAGCAGGCCGTGACAGAGATCCGGCTGGAGGACCGGACCAGGGAAAACATATGGGTTAGGAGTTATGGTTTGGGGCGTTTCGATTGTGTCCGGGTTTCAGACGACCCTACCTTTGAGCTTTAAAGCTGCAGGATTGGACGTGCGGCGTTTCGGGTGGTTCCAACCTGGCCACAGGAGACGACAACTGCAGGGAGAGCCACATTGACGTAGCTTGGCATGCAGTGTAACAGGGCATCACGGAGCACAGTTCTGCACTACAGACGTTTTGGTGGCTTGCCGTCCTTCTGCAATTTTGATGAAATTCCCGAACTGGTCAAGGTGAGTTAGCTGTGCCACCTCGTGAGGAAACGAGACCTTTGTCCCGGTGGGTACATCAGGGGGACTTGTGGCTGTGCCGACACTGTAGTGGGCAGACAGTTCGCAACCACTGGGGTGACAGCACACAGCGCGCACGTGCTGTACACCTTACGGACTTCTAGTGCAACAGGGGAAAGGATATGATGTGCATTTAGAGAATATTTGTTATTTTGATAGACAGATCGATAGCTAGATAAATAGATAAATGGATTTATAGGGAGACGGATGTGTACGTATATGCAAAGGACCGCTAATATGTTGACTCTGTCTTGGCGAGGGAGCTACCGCTTTGATTGTTTGTTGTTTCGGAAGTGGGAAGCGTAGTGCCTCAGATCTACACATGCCTCCTGGCTTGGCAGCTTCTGGAAATTGCGCATGCGGAAGGGTTTAGGCTACAAAAAACAACAAACAGCTGCACCCGCCCAACCGATGGCAGATCCTAAGAGAAGCGACCTGTCACATTTAGTGTCAGACAACCACCCTAAACCCTAAACCCTAAACCCTTGCAAGAACGGCTTTGTGTTCTAGGGGTTTGGGAATCGACGTCCTTGGGACTGGCAGGGCTGGGGCTTCGAGTTCGCCATCCCTTCGGCTCCCGCCGTTGAGCGAGCACTTTTGCAGAAGCCCAGTATAAAGGTCGGGAAAACCAACAACAAATCAGATTCTAGTCTATCTATCTATCTATCTATCTATCTATCTATCTATCTATGTATGCGTGATGGTATAGTGTACCCCAGAGCCTTATTCTGATTGTTAGGGTCTTTGCGTGACCCCCACGGGCTTCCGAGGCTCCCTCCACACTTCGAAGAGGAGCCATCGGAGGCCGTCCCATCTCCTCCTGCTTTGTGAAGCAGGGCGTGGGGCCTTTAGGACTTTAGGGTTTAGGGTT